TGGTGGCCGCCCCACCCCCGGCCCGGCCCGAGCCCCCCCGCCAGCCCCGAGTGCGGCAGGATCCTCCGGGCAGGTGGGTGCCGGGGGGGTGGGGAGTCCTGCCCCCCATGTTACAGCAGCCCCGGGGTCTGCCCATCTGGGGGGAAGAGATGCTGGGGAGATGCCATAATATGCGCCCCCCAAACCATTATGGCAACCCCCCCCCCATTGCCAGGGGACCATCTCCCACTGGGGAGCTATCATAATACACCTAATATACCCCACCCCTCACAGGGACATCATGGCAGGATGCCCCCAAAACCCAGTCCCAGGGGGCTAGTCAGTGTCCCAAGGGAAGGGGGGGGCCATGCTGGGGGGCTACCATAATACACCTAATATCTCCTCCTCTAAAGCTGTCATGGTAGGGCCCCTCCCGTAAAAGCCATTGCCAGGGGGCACCAGGGAGTCATCCTCCTCACTGTGGGGTGGGGGGCAATACTGGAAAGTTACCATAGTACGCCTAATATACACCCCAAAAAGGCATCATGGCAGGGCACTGCTGGAAGCCGTTTCCAGAGGCACACTGCTGGCACCGGGGTGGGGGGGGGACAGGGAGCTCCTGGCCGCAGCACCCAGAGCCGTACCCCCCGTGTCCCTGCAGACCAGCGTGTCCTGGCCCTGCTGCACCACGAGCACCTGCTGCGGGAGCTAGAGGAGCTGGTGCGGGAAGGTAAGTGCTTCCCTCCCCGCTCTCCATAACCCCTCCAAGACCGAGCCCCCCAGAGCTGTCCTTAAGTGGTGTTATACTCAGCCGTCCCCCCCCCAGCTCCACCCCAGAGCTGGCTGCATTGTTTGTCCTTGCTGAACCAGGGGGTTTTCCTCTTCAGGGGAAATGCCCACTCTGGGCATTGGATGGGGCAGGGGTGCCCACACGTATGCCGCCCGCCTTTTTTCTCCCCTGATAGAGGGCACCAAGAAACATCCGAGTGAGGCCAGGAAGCGGGGCCGCCCAGGAGAGCGCTACGAGGAAGAGGAGACGAAGGAGCTGCGGGAGGAAGTCAAGGAGGCCACGGTGTCGCAGGCCACGGAGGAGCAGGGCGACAAGAAGCGGAGCCCCCCGGAGTCCCGGGCCGCCCGGAGGCACTGGGGGGCCCCTGGCTCTGAGGAGCGGGGCCGGCCCCACGGGGAGCCCGGCTGGGCCACGGAGGAGGATGATGATGAAGAGGAAGGCAAGAGGTCGGGGCCCGGGAAGCGCGTGGCCGAACAAGCCAGCGACGAGGACACGGCCCAGTTTGAGGCCGAGGAGAAGGGCGTGAAGATCTCCGGCTCCCAGAGCCACGGCCACGGGGGCCACGGCCAGGAGGAGGAAGAGGAGGAGGAGGAGGAGGAAGAGGAAGGACGAGAGGTTAGTGCCCAGGTGGGCTGGGAGGGGTGTAGGGGCTACTGCATCTGCACCCCCTGCCCTGGCTGTCGGGGTGCCAGCCATCCTGCGAAGCTAAGCAGGACCTGTCAGAGTCAGCTCCTGGATGGGAGACTACGTGGGGACCCCCCCCCCAGTTTCCCTGCCATGCCCCATACTGCTGCTCCTGGGAGAAGGGGGTTTAGGCACCCCGGGGAGTGGGACCCTTGGTGCCCTCTGGGCTTGAGAGACATCCCCCCACCCAGGCCCCAGGGGGGAGCAGGTAAGGCCGCGTCTATGCTCGGGGGGGGGCCAGGCCTCTCACCCTGCCCTGTCGCCCCACAGTCCCGGGAGCTGGCCAAGCTGGAGGACATCGAGCTCCAGCTGAAGAAGGCGGCTGAGAAGCTGCGGGAGCTGCGGCGGGGCTGAGCCCCCCTGCCCCCTTCTGGGGGGGTGGAAAAGGAGGCAGGGGCCCTT